TATTTTCCAGAAGTCCATTAGTTTCAAGTTCAGTAGAGACAAATCTGGCACTTTCAATTTTACATTTGTCTAATCTTGATCTAAGTTTTATTTCAGAACAATTAAGATGGGTGAAGCTGCTAGTATCAATATCATTATCTAATTTAAATTTAGTTATTTAATTAAGTAGAAAGGCAAATAAATAAATAAATATAAAATATTGTATTACGTACTTTGATCAAATTCTTGATCAAATTCCTGTAAAGAATGTATTGAAAAATTATTATCAATACACCAGCCTGACAGTAGGTGATGCAAATATGGATCGATAATTAACTCTCTAAATATTGAATGTAGTGCCATGTTGTTTATGCGGTCATCTATTCCACCATCAGCTAGGTATCTTAGCATCTGCAACGTATTAACTTGCTGAAGTAATGTAAGTTCCAGGTTGTGCTTGTTTGTATATGGTACAATTGATTTAAAGATTTTGTGTACTATTTCCTTTATACCAACTGCCATGTTGATACAAGTGGCATATTGGAGTGCGTGATCTACCAGATGTCGATTTACATGGAGGTTCGGAAGATTTTGAAAGCTACCAGAAAACAACTTACATATTGAAAAAAATTATACTTTGTAAATATATAATGCAAATTTAAAAAATAATAAACTAAATATTAAATAATAACACAAACTCACCTCAATTAACGTATTAAGCTCTTTATCTAACAGCTTTTGAAGTTAAGAATATCCCTCTAATCTATTAATTGTCAATGAAACACATTTTTGCTTACTTTTGCTGACAATACCCAAGCCCGAATTAAATAATTAACGACATCATTTTGTCGAGAAAGTTTTAATCGAGCCTTTATTTTATTTAAAAAAGTATATTTAATATCACCAATTGTTAAAACATGCTTTAGTATAATAGGAAGTATTATTAAAGATGCAAGATATCTTGACATCATAAACAAATATCTGTGTGAGATTAAATTTGGCAAACACGCCCATTTTGCTGAAACCTCAAAATATTTTCAATATTTGATTATGTTGCTTTCCCTTTGTGGCATTAAAATAAGGCAAGTACAATTGAGAAGTCGTGCCACTTTTCCTGCGATCATGTGATATGCATTCTGTAGTATATATTGATGACATCGTGAAGAACAGAATCAAGTGGGCCCGGTGATGGTTGTAATCCATATTGTGAACAGGTTTGTAATCTTGCTGAATTTGTTTGTTGCTTACTTATAATTTCAAATTCTTGATTGGTTATTTGATGATACCAACCATTAGAATATATATCAAATGTAATATTTGTTAGTTCATTTTTAAAAACTTTACAACTACGACATTCAAAATTAGCATTGTGATGTAGTACACCAGCAATGTCATTTCCTTGAGACAAATCTGCTGTAACTATAGCCAACCCGCCAGAAATCCAACAATCTATACTATTCACGTTCATTACGAAACCCTGCTCAAGTTGATGCACCTCTTCAACAAAAGGTTTAATAAAATTTTTAAAATTGCCACCAAATGGCACCAATCCTATTATAAAATGGTTTTATAGTTTTTTTCTTAATTTTCGTGATATGTTGCCAATTTGTAAGTAGACTCTACCTAAAGAATGATAGGTGTTACGAAAAGTGCCAAAATCATCATAATATAAATCTAAGTAAAACTTAAGAATTGGTATATTGAAATTTGCTGGTGGCTTAATAGATATACGCTCAGATGGATGTTGGTGACAAAACTTTATTGAACGAAGCTTCCACCTGCCATTATAATAGTATAATATTTTGCTAACAAAGAATTCAAATATAGATAGAGCAGGTTGGTCTTGGAGCCCAACATTTAGACGGCAGATTAATAATGATGGATCAATAATAAAGGGATTTGATTCCTCAACTAGGTATTGTTCCTTGGTAAGTATAAATTGTGTTTTGAATATAAATATTGCAGGATTTGTTTATATGAAAATAACCATTGGATTTGTGTCGTCATATTTTTATCTACACTAACAAAAGATCTGATTCGACCGACTTCGATAGTTTCATTCATTGAACGATATTTAACAAAATCTTCACAATTGAACACATCTAAAATAAATAAATAAATAATAAAAAAAAGAAATAAATAATAAAAAATAAATAAAAAATAAATAACAAAATAAATAAAATAAAATTAATAGATAATAAAATAAAATAGAAAAAAATAAATTGCCTTGCATTGTAATTAAACTTGGTTAGCCAAAAAGAGGAGATTCAGCTTAGAGATCTTCTTCCTATAATTCTTCGCAAGATTTTGACAATATACTCAGCCCAAAATATAAATGTGAGCTAATGGACGGATTTTTTAATAGACGCTAAATGTGTTTAATTAAAGAAAAATAATAAGCACGAGTATAATCTTTGGATGTCGATGATGTGCTTTTAGTATTTATTAGAATCATGTGACTATGAATTTTTATTAATGGCAGTTGCTCGCATTGTTTCTTAAGATGCTGCAAATTAGTAGTTAAATATCTTCTTTCAAATTGTGGATAAAGTAAAATTTGTACCAGGTCATGATATGCTGTGGTTGCTAATAAAAAAAATAAAATGAAATGAGTGTAAATATTACATAAACAAATACTAAATCAAGTTACTTACGAATCATATACTGAGTGACCCATGTAAAAATGGCCATATTTGTAAAATTTTCAAAAGGGCTAAAAGGGCAATTGCGATTCCAATTTGCGACAGATTTCATTCTGTCAAATGTCTTTTGCATGTCATCCATTAGTTCATACTCATCATTTGAACTAAAGATATTTATATTATCATAAAGTTCATTTTCATTATATATATTGTTTATATCACCTTCTTCACACACTTGATCAAACTTTACATTATCAGTATCATGCATATTGTCATTGACTATATGTTGATTACTATAGTTTTGATCATTATTGTAAGATGGTTGATTATCCTCAACTTGAGTATCATAATCGGCTTGAGTATTATTATCAGCTTGAGTATCATTATCAGATTGAGTATCATTATCAGATTGAGTATCATCATTATTATTCACTTGAGCAATATCATCTGTTTGAAGACTAACTCAATTAGAGTATTAAGTTCAAATTGTGACCATTATGGTTCAAGTTGTTATTAAGTTCACATTGGTACTATTGATTGTTATAATTAATATCACTAACAAACAGTTTAGGTTATCTGATAAAATATAGTCACTTAGATAAGTTTTTTTAGAATGCACATTTAAGTCATAAGAATAGTATGAATCACTTTCTTGAATCTATTTAAGAAAACATAAGGCAATAACAAAAAATAACAAAGATATGTTTCTAGTAAGCTGGATCTATTAAGAAGAAAGATTTTGATGTTACTTTAAAATAATAACTATAGTTTTCAAAAGGCATACAAGAAAGAGATTCAAATTTTTTTTTTATACAAATTATCTTTTATAATGATATTAATAATTATTATATAATATAATAACAAATATTTGGAGAGGAGTTTAAATTGTAACGTAAGATCGAAATGTGAATTTACTGAATGAAATTTAAAGACATTTTACTAGTCTATTAGGTAGATATTTGAGATAAAACTTTAATAACTGTCAAGGTTTCACTAGTCTGAATATTAATTACTATAGCACATGGTTAACTACCAATGTCTCAATACAGAGGTATGGGTTATTCGAATACTAGTATATGTATTAAGCACAAGAAAAGATAAATAATTTTCTTTATTTTTTAATTAATTACACATGATTTGATCAATTCACATGACCTCGAGCCTGACCTATGAACTAAGCGATAGTACCCTTATATTTTTTTTATTTGAATGAGACTAATTTTCTCTTTAACTCATTCAATACGCAAATATTGATAGTCACAAAATTTTAGTTAATTATATTTTGTATGCTTTCGATAGCTATTAATTGCACAGTTCAAATAAGGATAGATATATATATATTCATAACTAAGATCGATCGCATGTTTAGAATAATTATACATCTATTACTAAATATTTGACATAAATATTTGAAGTAAATCTTATTGTTATAACCAATGTAATAATGACTTAGATTAAGTAAATTAGTATATGCATAAGTACAATTAAATACAATTTTTTTGGTTTAAAAAAAAAAGATAGCAGAATATAAACACAGGTAGATAAATATATGTCAAATATACGTATTCATTGCAATTTTTTTTCAATTTGCCTAATTAGTCTTTTTTTTAACTTCTCTTAAAAATTTCTTGCAATATTTATTTAATAAAATTTTGATATATACTCAATTATTATATATACATATATATATTTATTTAGGGATCGTTAAAGCAAGGTTTGATCACAAGATTTTGACCAATCAAATTATGAATTCCTGTTTACATAATAAAGCAAAAAAAGTAAAAAAATGAAAAATATAAGAAATGAAAGTCTTAACCTATCTTGATGCATTAAGAAAAAATGTTGGGCAAATGATTTTACCTATACAATTTTTCTAACTTTAGCCCTCTAATTTGATTCTAACCTTAATGCAATTAAATTTCATGATCGAACCTAACTTTAGTGATTCTTTATTTTTAATCATACCTTACTCGTACTTCATTAAGATCCAATTAATTTGCATACTGGAGATAACTTGCTGCTAGAAATATAATATCAATTATGATATTATCTAATTCTTTAACGTGGTTTAAAACCATGGAAGTATAATAAAGATTTTCTCCTTTAGACTCGGCTATTAAGTACTCTACATGTATCCTGATAGCAACTAATGTTACTAATGCCTTTACTCCCAATTGTTGTTTTATGAAAACATTATAATCAAGTATATCAATATGTTTTTTAAATGGTTTCTCCCATACCGCACCAGCTATGAACCCTTCAATATTATGATTAGAAAGATCACTATAATTTTATAATTATAACTATATAAATTAATATTATACAATATAAAACAATTAGGGTGATTCAGAATTGGTTCATTTCGAAAGTATCTCTGTTTTGAAATTCTAACATAATAGGAATATTTTTTCGATGATATATTATCATCATACTAAACAAATAGAATTTATAGATTACTTATCTCAAAACAATATATTACTAATTTAATTCGAAATTAGAAACCTGAACATTAATTCTGAATTACCCTATGATAGTAATATGGTAATTATAATCTGCCTTTTTTTCTAATTAATTGGGTTACTAATTGGACAACATCTTTATTATAAGTAATACAAAAATTTTCAACTACTTGCCTTAATTTACTTGAAATCCTATTCCAATCAGAGTGCGTATTAACTATATTGGGAATGATACTTTTAATCAGTGAAGTGCAGGTTTTTTTTGTTAGTATTCGAGTCCGCAAAAATAAATTCTTGATTGCTTAAAAAGAATTTTGCCAAATTTGGTATTTCAGTTGAAGGAAGCTATTATTTAAATTATATAATCATTATATGATATATTAATACTTAAGGCAGATAAATTGTTGCTAACCTGATTTGATATAATAGGTGGTAATGAAAATATAGAGTTCAATGCTTGTAGTATTATATCTTTACGTGTCTCTAGCTATCGAAGTAGATGTGTTTCGTCTTGAAAAAAAGATCATTTTTGCTGACGAAATTGCCAAACTTGGTTGAACAGCTAAATATGAATTAGTATATTTCATATTTGGTATATTTAATGGATGAGGTGATTTTTCAGAGAAGTTTGAATTGTAATATTGACCAAGTGAAGAAAAAATTTCATCTTCTGAAGATTCGTCTTCTTCAGAAGGTGGATGATAACTTTGATTAGAAGAATGTTTGTCATAAATATTAGATCATTCAACCTTATCAGAAGTTGGTTGATAACTTTGATTAGAAGAACATTTGTTATAAATATTAGATTGTTCAACCAAAGGATCTACAAGCTCAATTGAATGAATTCTTAAACTAGTGGGTCTTGTATTCATATGAGATAGTACTTTATGCTGATACTTATCAGTAGCAAAAAGTGATGATTCATTACTTTCATAACGATTCGGCGATTCATTAATTTGATTTTGCTGATTTTTGATATATGTCAGTCAGTTCTGTAGTTCTATAGAAGGTGAACGGTTTGGTTGATAAGATCCGTACGGACTTTAGATTGTAAATTATCTGCTTCATTGGTCTCTGGATCAATATTCTCTTTAAAAAATGAAAAGAAAATCAAAATTTTGACCATATGATGATCAAATAGATTACTTTTTGCAAATTTACCTTTACTCTTTGCTTTATTTGCTATTTGTAGTTTTTTTGATTTTAGTAAATCATCTGAGTGTTCAGGAATATCAGTTTCTACTTGAGTAAGATCAACTTTATTTTTTGCTTTTGTCTTTCTTGTTGGTTGTTTACTTATGAAGAAAAAAAGCTTAAGCAAAAATTGATAATTAGAAATAATGATTGATACTTACGGGAAGATGACTTTTTTGTTGGCATTGTTTATTCAATATTTCTAAGTAAAAAGATAAAAACAAATCTAAAGATAAAGCTATTTAAATTTATAGAGATAAGCTTTTATAATAAACGTAATCAGTATTATGTATTAATCGTAATTTCACAATCATAGATATATGAATTTCTCTTTAGCATTTTGATTTTTAGTTAATATTCAATGAATTAAATTTTTTTATTTACATAGAACTATGACCCTTTTATATATATTAAATATTTTACTAACGTGTTTGAATGAATCTCTAAATATAGATAACAAATTTTTTTTAACCTTCTCTAGTGAGATGAATATGGATATTCAAATTTCAAAAATTTTTATATAACATAATCAAAAAATTGTTTACTCAGCGATCTAAATAAATTGAATTTAATTTGACAAGTTTCAAAGCTCTAATTGTTATCATTTTAATGAGAAAACGGTATGTCTGCACTGAAACTATCCAAAATTTCGAGTAATGATAATGATAACCCTCTTATTTATCGACGATAGATGTATAAAATTTACCTCAAAATAGTAAACTCAAACAAGTGAGGCAAATATAAAATGTTCAAAGTTTTAATAAGACAACAATAAGAAGTGAGCCGTATGCAGTGTGAATCTGGTTACAATCAATTTAAGAGATTTTAAGAGATGCAAATCGAGTAGAATCATGAGATCGAGGATAAAATGGAATACTAAATATTTATTAAAATTTTACAGCAATAGGGTCGAAATTAAGATACTTCGTTAATCACGAGTTTTTGGGCTAATACCTCACGTCATTTTTCTGGATTACTTTCTGTTATTTGACCATTTGCCTCCACCGCCTACTTTGTACCTTAATCTTTAATGCTACATAAGCACTCCTAAATTATTTTTTCTAAATAAGTCGCTCCAAATCTAATGCCATATTTGGTCCACAATTTATATTTAAATGAGCGAATAAGTAGTACAGAGAAGATAAGCAAGAAACATATAGCAGTTTTCTCGCCTGAAGGTATAATATTTGCATATATATATACTGTATATATATGTTTTTTTTTTTAAAAAAAAATATATATATATATATTTTTTAAAAAAAAATACTGGCTGTTTTTTATATAGTGGAAAGCATTTAATGTATCTTCATTTTTACCTTAATATTGATGACTAAATTACTGAGGGTTTACAATAGCCGGCATAGTAAAATATTGTAATATTTCCGCCATGATAGTTGGCGGCAAAATTTTTTTCCTTCCGTGCTTGAAGTTAGCAATTCAAGTGAAACTTCAGACAAATATCAACTTCAGGCAAGATATCTATTTGGTATATTATGATTTTTCTGGCCACAACTAACTGGTGTTATTAGGTATATATTGATACTGTTGTCTCTTCGATCTTTCTATATGTCGCTTATTGATATTCTAAGAGAACATTGTTTATGTTGAAACTACCATATCATAATCGGCAAAAACCTCCTGAAAATGCAGTTTGTGTACTTATAATTAATACTAAAGGTATTCTTTAATTTTTATTATAAATAAATTGTGAATGCATTTCAAAATTTTATGCTAGTGAGAAAAAAACTATCGGAATTTTAAGATATAAGTGTCCTTTCATTAATCAATTTGGAGCCTGAACTGCAAGGTCTTTAATTTTCTCTCTGTGATGGAATGTTATCATCATTCTTTAGACTGACGATGATCCTCTAGTCCTGTGAGTTCGTGAGTACAATATTGATTGCCACCTTATGCTCGTCATATGGAACCTATCTATCGATAAAAGGGAAATATATAAATGAGTAAAATAAGTCCTGTGAAATACAGTATAACCTCGATATAACGAAGCTCTGGAGCTGGAGTTTTTCTTCATTATATCTAAATTTCTTATAGATTCATTATATCGAGGCTAGTTTAAATATAAAAATTTGGAATGACCTTCAATATACAATTAGAGTTCTCTATATCGAGGTTCGTTATATCACGGTTATACTGTATAATGAAATTTAAGTGACACCATATTGTAATTACAGGACTCACGGGCTCAAAATTACAATCATCGATTCAACTAAATCGAACAAAGCGATAATGATATCTCAAAGGCTTTAATGTTTTGATTTATTTGTTTTTTTGATTTGGCTTTGATTTTGTTAAATAACCAATATTCTTTATTCTTTAATGCTGTATCTTATAGCAATATTGTCTAATATTATGTATTAATATTTTTTTTATTAAAAATTAATTTTATTAGTTTTATTTATTGTAAATTTTTATTACTATTAAATTACCTTTTGTAATCCTAATTTAATGGTTTATAAAAGCTACATTTTTGCTGTTTATAGGTTTAAATTTTTATTAGTATTGTTTTTTTTTTATTATATTTATACTATATAATTTTATAACATTAACTAGCTCGATAACAAATATGCCAATAATAAAATTTTGTTTCAAAGTATTTAATTTTGCATTACCTTATCATATGCTATTTATAGTCTAATAAAGTCAATACATTTGTTATAATAATGTTAAAATATTGCAAAATTTAATGCTTAACTTATTTGTTTTAAAAAGCTAAAATTTTGCTATTTATTAGGCCTAAAAAATTAAAAATATTTTACTAATTTAGAATTAAACTCCTAATTTACCAATTTAAAAGCTTATAAAGTACTAAACAATGATTTTAATTGCAAAATAATTGCATATCTCGAAATTTAAAGGTTTTAGTAAAGTATATGGTAAAATTCCGTAAACTCCACGGCATTCTGCCGTTAATGCTATGCACGTTGACATCGCAAGTCTAAGTCTGCAATATATGCATTATGTAAATGAAATTGTAAAATATTACCGCTATGCAAATCTCGATGAATAAGTTCTTGAGAATGAATTAGTTGAAGATCAGAAGCAATACAATGCAATAAAGTTAATTTATTTCTCCATTCCATTTGTGTCACAGAGTGAAGATTACTACGCAAAGATCCCTTAGGTGCATATTCTAGAACGAGGATATAATCACCAGAAGAATCATCTTTTGATATTCCAAAACATCTTAAAAATGATGGATTGTTACCGCCAATATCACAATATGCTTTTAACTTTTGCATTAATAATTAGTCAAATATAATTAGTCAAATATAAATCATTAAAATTTTAAACATTAGAACGTAAATAAAACTACCTCTTTTATAAATTCATCATTATAATCTTTTGAATTATGAAGCAATTTAAGTGCAATGGGCTGGAGACGGCCTTGATAATTATCGCGCCACGTAGCAAAATATACTGTCGCAAATCCGCCCTTCCCTTGAATTTAATATTTTCAAATTCATTATAGGGAACCCAAAATAATGGATCTTTACTTTCACTCAGGATTTTTTTCAAATTATAATCAATATCTAAATTATCAAATATTTGCCTGTTTATTGCTAATGAAAATTAAGTTATTATCGTTATGTTAGACTCATTTGACAAAGAAATGTAATCAATAAAAGCTAAATACTTGATATTTGTTTTCGTTCTCTGCAATTTATTTTAATTTCATTATTACAAAGAAATATATAATTTTATTATGACAGTATAAAAATAACTTACATCTGGTACCATTCATTGGCTTTTTGTAAGTCTCTTGTTACTCCAATTCCATTCCGATAACAATGCCCAACACTAAATATTCCAGTAGCATTTCCCATTTCAGCAGATTTTTTATTATAAATGAATGCCTTATGTTCATCCATTTCAACTCCAATTCCATTTTGATAACAATATCCAACCATATATATTCCATCTGTATATTCCATTTTTGATAATAAATGAATGCCTTGTGTTCATCCTTTTCAACTCCAATTCCGTTAATATAACAATATCCAACAGCATATGTTCCATGAACGTACCATCTCTGCAGATTTTTTATAATAAATGAATGCCTTTTGTTCATCCTCCAATTCCATGTCGATAACAATATCCGACATCAAAAGTTGCGATTGCATATCCCATGTCTGCAGATTTTTTATGATATTCAAAAGCCTTATGCTCGTCTTTCTCAACTCCAACGCCATTTCGATATTTCAGCCCAAGTTCATGGAGTTCAGCGGCTGTTAGACTCATGTTCAACGACATATACGTAGTTATCAATAAGTTTTTTTCGTTGTTATTTATAGTATACATTTACGATAATCATTTACAAAATAGTCTAACATTATTTTTTAATTTATACAAAAAAAAAAGATTTTGAATCAGTTTAGGCGCTTGCGATGTTTATACTAACATAATGCAGAAGCATGTACTGTACGTACGTACGAACATACGTACGTACGTTGTTACAAAACTTTTTCATTTTTCTTTGCATGTATATTTTTCTTTTAATTTCCCTATGCATCGTCTTATTTGTTATGTTAGGTAGTAATTACGGGTTTAATATATGAGTTAGGATAGTTTATACTAAATTGCACGGATTCTAATTTGTTAGATCCTCAAAGACAGGTTTATTTAAGTTATACATATATCTGTGTTTGATACACTAGTGTACTAATAGAAGTCGTCTAATATTATTTTTATGTAAATTTTAAAAAATAAATGCATTAAAAAATGTTAAACATTTATATTTTTTTATACTTATTATCTGTATAAGTTGCAACATAAGCAAATTTTAGTTATTAAGATTTGATAGTAACTATATAAAATTATTATATTATTTTTTAATTGAATAAATAAAAAAATAAAAAAATATTATCCATAGTTAAATCAAAAAATTATTATTTTCAATATAAAACCTAACGATTAATTTGACATAGTGCTATTGTGGAGTAAATTCATCAACCCATTTATAAGAATCTCTTTGGCTTACATCTAATAAAAATATTGGCGTGTCTTCGGAAAATACACCACTACCTATTAAACAAATAAAGGTTTAGTATGTTTAAATAATAATAATAATAAACAGGCATAAAATAATTAAAATTTTACCAAAATTGATAAACATATAATTATCCACTAATGCAGAAGTATATGACGCTATAGCAAATAACTCAATT